AGGTTAAACAGGGCCACCAGTTTAGCAATGAGAGCTTCAGAGTACTCTACACTTTCAAAAATCAGATCACTCCTGGATTTTGGTACCTAATATTAGGTATCCTTAGCAAAAATACAAAGGATACTTTGGTACATAGCTTCTACTGAATGAATCCTTTATAAGATGCACTCTTGTTAATTCCTTTATTGTATTTAATACAAAAGGGCTAACAGAATTGACTTACAGTATGGAAAGTTACTTGAAGAACTAAATATGTTTTACTTGATTAAATTGCTAGTGTAACTGTCTAGAAGTATTTGAGCATATGGAGATCATCGCGGATATGCAGCTGAACCTGAGCCCCCACTGTGATGCTGTGGCCAAAAGAACTAATGCAATCCTGGGATGCATAAACAAGGGGATCTTGAGTAGGATTTGTGAGTTATTTTACCTCTGAGTTTGGCACTGGTATGACTATTGCTGGAATACTCTGTTCAGTTCTGGTGCCCACGATTCAAAAGGATGTTGATAAATTAGAGAGGGTACAGAGAAGAGCCACAACAATGATTAAAGGATTAGAAAACGTGCCTTATTCTGATTGACTCAAAGAGCTCAATTTATTTAGTTTAACAAAGAGAAGGTTAAAGGGTGACTTGATTACAGTGTCTAAGTATCTACCTGGGAAACACATATTTAATAATGGCATTTTCAATCTAACAGAGAAAAATATAACACAATCCAATGACTGGATGTTGAAGCTAGACAAATTCAGATGAAAAATAAGTCATACATTTTTAACCGTGAGAGTAATTAACCTTTGGGGGGAAAATTACCAAATGATCATGGTGGATTCTCCATCACTGACATCATTTAAATCAAGATTTAATGTTCTTCTAAAAGATTTCCTCTGAGAATTATTTTGGGGCAGTTCTATGGTCTGTGTTTTACAGGAGGTTGGATTAGATTATCACAATGATCTCCTTCTGGCCTTGGAATCAGTGAATCATCTTAGTGTTCAGTATTTGTGGAACTGCTAGCACTTTGGGGTCCTCATCTGTGACTGGGGCTCCTAGGTGCTACTTCCATACAAATAAATAATAATAATAATTAGAAGAATGTAAATACCCTGAAGGAAAGGGAATTGTGTAGGGAGGTACAAGAGGATGAACTGAAGAGTAGCAGGATGAAACTCAAAGAAAAATGTCCTGAACATCAGGGAAATAATGAATACCTGAGAGTATTTAGTACTAAACTGATATCCATGAGAGCTGGTTAAAGCCACAATAAGGGAGTTATTTTTGACTAGAAAGAGTACACCACACATAATATACTGTAAGGAAAACCCTGCTCTATTTGGCATATGACCAAGATTACCTTTATTTATCCCCAGTTTCTCTTTCTCTGTTATCCGACAACATTTATAGTCTTCATGTAAAGCACCATGCTCACCTATTGCAATATATAAATAATGATCATAGTACCAAAATGGTTGAACTGAGGAACCATGACTCTTGAAAGTTGGTAGATGTACTTTTCTGCACGTTACTACCGATATTCTGAAGCATCAGGTATCAAAGCATGTGCTTGTTATTCCAAATTGCCTTTTGACCTATTTTCCTTTCAGATTTTCTCTCCTTATTTAAACGCTCCTATTTAAAAATAGCATTCCTTATTATAATTCTTTATTAGTTGGCCTTCCAGAGTGAAAACTTAAGGATGTTCACAATTTACAGCAAAACTGCTCACTGCATGTCCTCCCCTAACATTAGAATTCATAAATGTTTTAACTATGAAACCCTTGAATAGCTTGGCCTTAAATATATCCTTGATCTCCTGTCATCAACCTTCCATTCTGCCCTTTCCATTTTCCATATTCAAACTTACTTATTATTTCTCAGATACAAACTGAGGCTCTGATTCAGGAAAGCAAGTGCTTAAATCATATTGAAGTTTATGAGATTTCAGCAGGTGCTTAAAATTTAAACATGTACTTAAGTGCTCTCCAGAATAGGGATGGTCTTAAGCATTTACCTAAGTTCTTTTCTGATTCAGGACCTCTGTCAATGCTATTCAAAAGTTTGGGAACCTCTGTTATAGAACAAAGCCCACTATGTACGAGACTGAGAGCTTGTCTACATTTATGCATCTCTATTTTCACTTCCCAGAATATTAATTCAGTTGAGTATTTAATAATGTTATTGTTGCAGGTGTTTTACTATACTTTCAAATGTAAAACATATTATTCTAAGTAGTGGTATATTTCAAACAAAATAATTAAAATCTCCATATTTTTAGAATATTTGATAAGACAGTACACCAATGAATAAGGTCTTTTAAAAGGTTGTATGCCTCCTGTAAAATGATGGCATTAGGAAGAGCAGAGAATAGAGGAAAAAAATGAATAAGAAAACTGTCTTAAGGGAAACTTACCAGGATAAGCACCTGGTTTAGGAATCTTTAGTACATTATGTACTTCCATAACTAGTATATATAGCACCTTTTATCAGAAAATGTCAAAGCATTTTTTTTTAAAGGAAGGTCAGATTTGGGGTTTAAACATTTGTATAGTGCTTTTCTATTTTAGAATTTAGAATAGCTTACTGTTCCTGCTTGCATAAATACTTTTGTTACCCAGAGCTATTCTTTAATGGAAGCCATTAAAAATCAATATACTTTTGTTACCCAGAGCTCTTTTTACATACTTGATCCATTGTTTCTAACCAATTTTATTAGTCTGTTCTCCCTAAATTACTAGCTTTTAACATTGATATACTGATATGTTTCTGTTACTCTTTGAGAGAGCATAAAGAAGACAAGAGGAAAGTGGCTATGATATACAACATATATAATACTCAACTTTAAAAAAAAGTTTTTTACATATCAAGCAGGATATTTGTGGGTCAAAAGGGAGTGATTTGATACAGCTCCAGGAGCTTGCTATATGTAAAAATAAAACATACATTAGTAATGAGTGTATGTAGTGAGGTTTTCCTTTCCTAATTCTCATTCATTGAGTGACATTGTCACTAGATGGAAACATAAAATGAATTCCAAAGATTTAGTAGTTTGTTACCTTCTCTGTCACCATATACGAATTGTACAGGGTTACAACACTTCTAATGCTCTCCGGTCCAAACTTACACTTAGTACAACTGCTTAGTAAAATTACATTAGTTCAGATATTTAGAAATAAGTACCTAAATGGTGCCTACAAAATCCATCCACACAAACAGTAATATGCAAACACCAAGTAAATATAGGGTAAACCTGGTGTGACAAAGCTCTGTCTTTGTCTCCATGGGTCCCACATTTCCTCACAGATTCCACTAGCCTCAGAGGCTCACTGTGACCCTCCACATAACCCTTCTCTCTCTAGGGAAAAGGGTCACAGTCTACTGAGCCATTTTCATAAGCCAGCAAAGGAGGTGAGGAGAAACTATCTTCCCTTGCAGTTTCTGTTATCTCCCAGTCTCAGTGATTAATCAGGGGGTGCAAAGGGGGGAACACAGGCCCACCCTCTACTCTGGGCTCCAGCCCAGGGACCCTAATAGTATCAGCTATAGTAGCTGACCTTTTAGAAACATGACACATACAATTCACTGTGCTACTTCCCCACAGCAGCCCCCACTTCCTCAAGGTCCACTTTACCTTACTTCAGGGTCTCCTTCCTTATGCCTGATATGGTATGTACTGCACAGTCTCTCCAATGGCACAACTTCCTCCCACAGCTCCTGACATCCACACCCACCTGACTAGCTGGGAGGCTTTTAACTAGTTTCAGCCAGCCCCTGATTGGCTTCAGGTGTCCCAATCAACCAATCTCCCTGCCTTCTGGAAAGTTATTAATTGGCTCCAGGTGTCTTAACTGACCTGGAGCAGCTGCCATTTAACTTATCCTGGTACCAGGGATTTGTTTAGCCTGGAGCTAATATATCTATCTCCCACTGCTTTTCTATAGCCATCTGGCCTTGCCCCATCACACTGGATTATCCAAATTTCAGATTTCTAAGCTTATGTTTCTATTCCCTAAATCTGAGTTTTTATAGGAATCAATTTTCCTTTGTCTTATTCTCCAATAATAAGAGGTTTATGTGTTTAGATTTTCAAGTAATTGGATTTTATCTGTGTTTACTTGTGTTTACTTGTATTCTCAATTAACTATTTTTTCTTCTTCTACTGCATCTTTTGGTTTTGAGATAATCATGGTGAAAGACACCTCGGATATAACTAAAACAGACAACAGATATTTCAAGTGTTCAACTCAATGTCTCCCCTTCTAAAAAATTACAGATCCTACCATACTATAATTTATTTTTAAATTTACTTACTGATTTGGGCAATCTGGTTCATCAGGCACCCATATCCCATGAATCTTGATTACAACTCCTGTGCCAGTTTCAAGAGATGCAGTCATTTTATTACTGTAAATTTAGCAGAAAGCAGCATAAGTGTTCATCTATGTCTGCAGTGTTAAATCAGATTGCTACGAACATACACAGCTGAAGCAGAAATAATCCAGAAAAGCCACGAGAAACTCTCAAATGAATAGCTAAATAATGTATCTGAAAACAATGAGCGTACATCTCTGTAAACCACTTTGTGGAATACTATAGAAAGTTAACAAAGAACTCTGACTAGTAAGTATATTTGTGATCATTTAAATATGAATGTTTTTTACCTATAATGGGAGCCATTAAAAATCAACGTTTATCCAGTTACCATGCTGTGGTGTACAAAAGTGTTTCCCAAAATTCTGAATAGTAAATACCTCCCATATTTCATATACTGTGGGGAAGTAATTGTTCTAAATGTGTTTTCATGATCCACACAGCATTGCCCATTTCTTGTACGAAAGGTTTTGAAATGAATAAGCTTGACAGAATCTTGCCTGCAACAAGATGATATATTTAGTGTTACTTTTGTAATCAATATTGTTAATTTCCTGGTGTCTTTCCCTTTGCATAGTACTATTTATCCAGGAATACTGTATCATTATTGATTCATGATTGTGTCATTCACAGATATTGGCTGACCTAGAAAATCATGCACTTTTTAAGGATGACTTGGAATGTCAGAAGCTAATTCTGGAAGCTATGAAATACCATCTTTTACCAGAAAGGAGAACTCTAATGCAAAGTCCAAGGACTAAACCTAGAAAATCTACAGTTGGAACACTGTATGCTGTTGGAGGAATGGACAACAACAAAGGTATTAGCTTATTGTTTGTTTCTTTTTTCTTTAAACAGGTTATGCTTTGCAGCTGTGACTATATTTTGTCTGATGGCAAATAATGAAATAATTTTCTGTTCAAAAGGTGTGGGGGTCTAATCCAACGAGAAGTAACTTTGCAGGCTATTGGCTTATAGAAATTCCACTAGTTTTCAGAGGCAAAATGTAACTATCAGATAGGGATATTCCCTCTCTAACAGATGTAAAATGACTCATTCCCAAGAACTGAGTCCTGAAATGCACCTAACTTTATGCTAATAAATATCACATAAGGTCTGGGAAATGATGTTTGGGATTCCACTGAGTATTCCTTGAGAATTTCTTGCCCTGACACCCTCAAGATGGGTTCCTCCCTTTTTAAAAGGTACCACTTACAAATCTTTATTTTCTATTTTTCACTTATGGGGCTAAGAAAATGTTATCACCATTTTTACAATGCTCCATTTTTATGATGATAAAATTACTTGTTAATTGAAAAAAAAATTGAAGTTATAAGGATTATATTTGCCAGGAATCATTTCATTTAAAGTGGAGAAATTAGAAAGCAATGGAGCAGTCTTTGTGATGAACATTTTAAGAATATTACTTTTGTACCTTTAAAATTGGTAAAGGAATCAAAGTGATTTAATTATTTTGAAACCAAGGAAATCATTGTACTAAAATGGTGTTACAGAGCCTTATAATGAGACTTTATAATGAGACAAGCTTTCCTTGCATTTCTAAAGGCTCACTAACAACAAACCCACAGTATCCTCCTGTCAAGGTTCCTTCCCCACTCTGAACTCTAGGGTACAGATGAGGGGACCTGCATCAAAAACCCCCTAAGCTTATTTTTTACCAGCTCTGGCCCCCAAGTAGAGACAAAAAAAACTCTAACTGCTTTCAACTTAAAACCTGCTTTCCAGCAGCCCAAGGGGGAAAAAAATGTCCTTTTTTAAAATCTGTGCTTCTGGTTAAAAAAACCTCAAATTGATCTCAAAATGATTTCAAGTTAATCCCACCGCTCTGCCACCATGTCAAGGTTCCTTCCCCACTCTGAACTGTAGGGTATAGATGAGGGGACCTGCATGAAAACCCCCCTAAGCTTATTTTTACCAGCTTAGGTTAAAACTTCCCCAAGGTACAAACCATTTTACCTTTTGTCCCTGGACTTTATTTCTGCCACCACCAAGCGTCTAACAAAATATAACCGGGAAAGAGCCCACTTGGAAATGTCTTTCCCCCCAAAATCCCCCAAGCCCTACACCCCCTTTCCTGGGGAAGGCTTGATAAAAATCCTCACCAATTTGCATATGTGAACACAGACCCAACCCTGAGGGAAGGCTAACCACCTTTAAATCCCTCCTGGCCAGAGGAAAAACGATTTCACCTGTAAAGGGTTAAGAAGCTAAAGATAACCTCGCTGGCACCTGACCAAAATGACCAATGAGGAGACTAGATACTTTCAAAGCTGGGAGGGGGCTGGACAAAGGGTTCTCTCCATCTGTGTGGTTTTTTTGCAGGGACCAGAGCAGGAATGCAGGTCAGAACTCCTGTAAAGGGTTAATAAGCAATCTAGATATGCGTTAGATTCTGTTTTGTTTAAATGGCTGATAAAATAAGTTGTGCTGAATGGAATATATATTCTGGTTTTTGTGTCTTTTTGTAACTTAAGGTTTTGACTAGAGGGATTCTCTATGTTTTGAATCGGATTACCCTGTAAGATATTTACCAGTCTGATTTTAAAGAGGTGATTCTTTTACTTTTTCTTCAATTAAAATTCTTCTTGTAAGAACCTGATTGCTTTTTCCTTGTTCTTAAGATCCAATGGTTTGGGTCTGTGTTCACCTATGCAAATTGGTGAGGATTTTTATCAAGTCTTCCCCAGGAAAGGGGGTGTAGGGCTTGGGGGGATTTCAGGGGGAAAGACATTTCCAAGTGGGCTCTTTCCCGGTTATATTTTGTTAGACGCTTGGTGGTGGCAGCAATAAAGTCCAGGGACAAAAGGTGAAATAGTTTGTACCTTGGGGAATTTTTAACCTAAGCTGATAAAAATAAGCTTAGCGGGTCTTTCATGCAGGTCCCCCCATCTGTACCCTAGAGTTCAGAGTGGGGAAGGAACCTTGACACCTCCACTTTCATGCCAGCCTTTAGGCTGAAGATCGTATTTTCAAACGTCAGTTCTAGTATGAAAAGTATTGACTTACAACCAATAAAGAAAAGATAAAATATATGTCTTTCACAGTTCACATCTAAACTTTTGGAATGTACATTCACAGTCACAAGTGTATATAATGTGAATAAGACCATTCCTTCCATACTGATAAGTCACACTTCCATGGGATTGTATGATAAAATGAATCACATATTATGGCTACTGGTATTCTGTATAGCACTTGAAAATTTTCTGTAAAACCCTTGAAGTGTCCAGGTTTTATTAAATAGCTGCACAGCTTCTAATTCAATTGAGTTTATTTTAGTCATATGTAACCTTTCTCCAGTCTTATGTAACCCTGTCAGAAGCAACAAGAGTCAGATTCAGTATCTAGGGTTTGTTCTTAAAATTACAAAACAAAAATGGCTTGAGCTCCCACTCAAAAATCTGGAAAAAGTAAATATCTCCTCTCTGTGCCTCTAATAGGCAGTACTTCCCCACTCACACATCCTGAGTATGTATATAACAAAAAGAAAAGGTTTATTAAGTGGAGAGGGAGCACAGCATTAATTTCAGAAAACAGTGACAATGACTCAAAAGTAAGGAGACAATAAGTAACATGCCTTCCCCACAGTATCTTGGCAGTCCTTTGCCTTAGTTTCCCACCTGCAGTGTGAAAGTCCAATAGATGAATGTCCCTGTAACATGCCACTTCCCCTTTTCTTCTGCTATACCTCACTCTTGTTGTCCAAGATCAGCAAAGCCCCAGAGTCCAGCAGTGCATTTAGGTAGGTTCACCTCCAGCTCCACATCCAGGTGGTGGTGTTGGTGGTGGTTGGACAAGTGATGCCTCTGCCACTGCTCACTACTGCCTCCTCTCACCACCACCTCCACTGCTGCTCTGCTGTGTCGTTGGTCAAGTCCAGTCCAGTTTGGTTCTACAGCACCATGACCACCTAGGTATTAGTAATCACAGATGTAGGATTTGCTGGGTATGGGGCACCTTTGATGCTGATTCTGTGTCTCTTACCATATTGCAATTAGGTGCAATGCCATGTTCTGAGGTTTTACTACTGAGCTCAGTTCTTAGTGATTTCAGCTCTTAGTGATTTCACTGAGTAATGGGAAGACTCACTGTTGCTGTCCCCTCTGTGTTATCTGTCACTGGTACACTGTATCCACACCAGGCCTAAGGCTCAGCTCCCTAGACAAACATAGCAGTGATTTCAGCTCTGGTGATCTCTGAGAAGGGACAAAAAGTGTCAACTGAGTCTAATCAGTTCCGTCTTTAAGTACTGGAGTGAGAGGGTCAAATAGCATCTAGAACTCCTAAAACAGAATCCTCACCATGCACTTGGAACACCTGTTCCCATGTCCTCTGACTTTCACTTTGCTACTCCGCACTTAGCAAGTGACATTTCAGATTAGGTTGACTCCTCAATTAGGGCATATTAAGTACAGTTCTATTGCCCTGTAGTCATGCAATAAGGATTGCAATATTTCATTACCCCTGCAGCCAAGACAAGTGAATTTTAACCCAAAACAATCAAAGTTGATCAACCTGGCAAAGCAGGTCTATTGATCACCTTAGCAAAGTAGTCCATGCAAATATGGTTTATAGAGCCCTGCACAGATACAAAATTTGTATCCTCATCCGATCCGTGATCTGCAGACATGGTCCATGGATATGAAGCAGATATCTGCATATTTGCTGGGCTCTAGATATACAATCTGGATCCGCATCCATCCATGATCTACAAACATGGTCCCTGGATATTTGTGGCTATGAAGCAGATATCCACAGATTTGTGGGGCTCTAATTGCTCCTGAGGTCTTTTCCCCCAATTTATCAATAGATGACAGGAGACAGCTCATTCAGACCACTGGCTTACACATTTGGAAAAACATACACACAAAACAATTTTGCCCCTATATATAAAAGTACCATCAATAAAGTGCAGATTCATAGACTATGAGTGTGCAACAGATTAGAGTTAATCTGGAAATTTGTTAATATTAAAGCACTGTTGCTAATGAAGCTTGAGAACTTAAAATGGGCCAGACATGTACAAAGGATATTGTAGGTTTTGATCAAAGAGGGGCAACTATGTGATAAAACATGAAGGAGGGTGGGAGAAGAAAGGGACTGAAAATATCAGAGTCATGTAAGTGTATTAAGGAGTATATTGAAAAGACAGTAAAAAAGCTCAGGAGAGATGTCCTTCTTATCTACCCTGGATATACCTATGTTTGCCCATGTATTTAAGAAAGTTGACATTGAATAACATAAACACCTATATGTAGCTGTCAGCTATTGGTTTGCATTATAGACTTTTCCTTCAGAGAAGCTTGAGAATATAGAAGCTTGACACATGTTTACAAGTCACAAATTCTTTGAATCCTAATTTCATTCTCCCCTGGAAATGTGTTTCTGAAAATTATGAATTTGGTAGTAGGAAATCAGAGGCAGCTTGAAATGATCTTTTGAAACTCATCTCTAATTAGGTATTACAAGGTTTGCTTTGATTTTGTGTGTTACAAGGTTTGCTTTGATTTTGTGTGTGTGTATATATATATATATATATATATATAAAGGAACTGCACGATGTAAATCCACAGCAAATTTACTATGTTGCATATTGATAGTTTCCCATAACAAGTGTTTTTCTGGGCAATTCAGAATGTATGTTAATTTTTTGTCATGTGACATTTAAGGTATAACCTGTGCCCGCTTACCTGTCATAGTGCTTGTTGAAGGTTTTCTCACTGCTGGAAACTTATCTAATTCTTAGAGCTTGGCTATAAATAACTATTTGGTGTGGTGGGGATGGCATGAAGCCCAAAT